AATAGGTGTGTAGTGGTATCTCATTTTAATTTTTCAGTTCCCTAATGATGTTTCATCTTGAGCATCTTCTCATATGCTTATTTTCCATCTGTGTATCTTTGGTAAGTTTTCTAGATTTTTGCCCATTTTTTAATTGAGTGTTTTGTTTTCTAATTATTGAGTTTTCAGAGTTCTTTGTATATTTGGGATACCAATCCTTAATCAGGTATATTTTGCAAGATTTTCTCCAACTCTGTGGATTGTCTTTTCATTCTCCTGTCTTTTAATGAAATTCAGCTTCTCAGTTTTTTCTTTCACTGATCATGTCTTTGGTGTTTATATTTTAAAAGTCATCTCCAAACCCAAGACTACCTAGATTTTCTCCTGTATTCTAGGAGTTTTATAGTTTTGCATCTTAAATTTAGGTCAGAGTTTCCATATAAATGGATAGTTCTTAATTTTTTGTTATTGATTTCCAACTTAATCATGTTGTAATCAGAGACCTCACTCTGTATAACTTCAGTCCTTTAAAGTTTGTTGAAACTTGTTTTATGACCCAGGAAGTAGTCAAAAGTAAATATTCTACGTGTGCTTGAAAAGAATGTATATGCTGAAATTGCAGCGTGTCCTATATAAGCCTGTTATGTTATTCTTGTCCAAAGCTTCTGCACCTTCATTGATTTTTTATTTTTCCTATCAAATGAGAGAGGTGTGTTAAAGTCTCATTCTGTGACTTTTGATTTAATTATCTTACATTTCTGCTCATTTTTGTCTTATTATTGTTGAGACCATATTGTTGGAAGAATATAGAATTGTCATATCTTCCTGGTTAAATGAAACTTTCATCATATGTAGGCTCTATCCCTAGTCATACCTCTTACAGACTTATCTAATATTGACATAGCTACAGGTAGTGAATGTTGTGATATTCTGCCCAGATCCTCCATCAGGACTGATGGTATTCCCTTAGCTGCTGGAAGTGCTACCAGATGACAGCCTTCACTCATCAGCCCTCTGCAGGAATTGTCCTCGCCTCACCCAAGGCCACAGCCTGCATCCTACGACTGGTCAGAGCAAGGTTAGAAAGACCTAGTCTCCTTGCCAAAGCTCCCTCTCTTTCCCCTCTCTCTCCTCTGAGACTCCAGTTATATCCTGCACTTCCCATCTCTCTCCTCTTCATGCTTCCTTGTAGGTTTCTTCTAGCCTCTCTTTCAGTTCACCAGAATCTTTTAACTATCAAATCTGATGTTAAATCCAGTTCCATAACTTCTAGTTGTTTTTCCTCTGTCACTTCTTGTGGTTGTTTGTTCTATATTGCTTTCTGAAGTTTGGCTTTATCTCCATAAACGAAGCAATTGCATTTTACTAATGATTTTACTGTCTAGAGTCCCTGTGAATGTATCAGTTTTTTTTTTGTTTTGTTTTTGTTTTTCCTGTATCCAGATGCTGTCTCTCAAAGGTTTTTTGTTTGTTTGTTTTTTTGCTGATCCTTGTCATTTGAGAATTTGTTTTTTGGAAATAATTGAGAACTAAGATGATGATAGCTTTCTCCAGAGCAAGGTTTTATTTCCTCCTGTCAGGACCTTGGTATGCTAGAAGCCTGAAGAGCGAAGCTCGAGGCCCTTGAGGTACTTCCTCACTCCAGAGTAAGCCCTTTGGAGACCGAACCCACAATGGAGATTATGGTAGGCACTAAACTCTGACCTATGTTATTTAGTACTGCAAGTCTACCAAACAAACAGCTGCCTCTCTGCTGCTTTCCAGAGTTCAAGAAAAACGTAGCGGTAATTTGGGATGGAGGAGGGACCAAACGGGAGGATGCATCCTGCTACTTCCAAAGATGATATTCCCCATCTCCCCCTCTTTCGTCACTACCTTGAGTGAAAATCCAACAGAGATGCCTTTGATTTATGTATCTTATCACATAGCTGTATTTTAGCTGCAAAGAATGCTGGAAAACTAGCATTTTAAGGTTTTATAGAGGGTGTTGTAGACAGAATTCTAAGATGATCCCATGATCTCTGCTTCCTTGGTGTTGCAGCTACGATTAGGTCACACTGCATGGCGAAGGAATTTTACAGATCTAATTAAGGTCCCAAATCAGTTGATTTTGAGTTCGTAAGGGAAATTATTCTATGGGTCTAATATAATTATATAAGTTCTTTAAAAGCAGAGTTTTCTCCAGCTGGTAGCATAAGATGTGATGAGAGAGATTCCAAGTGTGAGAAGGACTGAACACACCACTGCTGCCTAGAAGATGGAAGGACCCACGTGGCAAGGAATTCCAGTTCCTGGTAGCTATGAGCACCCTCCAATCTCCCCACCCTCCAGCAGCCAGCAAGAAAACAGGGGCCTCAGTCCTACAATCACAAGGAATGGAACTCTGCAAATAACAGGTATGAGCTGGAAAGCAGTTAAGCCAACACTTTGATTTCAGCCTTTTGAGACTCTAAGCAGAGAACCCAGCCAAGCCATCCTAGACTCTGACTACAGAACTGTGAGACCATACGGGAATGTTTTAAGACACTAAATTTGTGGAAATTTTATTCAGGAAAAGAAAATAACACGGAGTCATTCTTTGTCTTCCACCAAGATTCACAAGGTGGTGAAATGTCCCAAGCACAAAGGTTCAGATACTGAGTGGCCAAAATGAATGATAAGGTATATACTCCAAGGGTCAGCAGCAGTTAGGAAGCTATGAACTATTTGAGGTAAGCTGTTCAGTCATGCAGTTTTGTGGAAACTATAAGAAGAAACAGGATGGCCCAGTTCTTAAAAATGGCTCAGCCTTCTAGAGCAGCTAAGGCCCATATGTACCCAAAAAAGAAAGATCAGACACCTTCAATGTTAGCTGCAGATACCTTTTGAGTAGAACTCTGATTTGGCCCCAAATTCAGCAAACTATGTACTTAAATGAACACATCCTATAGCAAATTAAATCACATCAGCACAAAAGAACAAGTATATACAAAATCTTTATAAGCTCACATATTTTGCCAAAAGTGTACAAGCAGTCTCAATTCATGGGGACAAAAATGAATATTTTTGTTCTCCACAGGTCACTGAATGAAGTCATTGTACAATTCAGAGAAGCTGCTAAGTTTGCAAAACAGTACTGTGTCATGTTCACGGTTGAACTGAAACACTGTGAATGAGTTAATACCTGCCATAAAACACAACTTTATCTAATAACAGTATTAACCTGCTTGCTAAATAGGCTCTGCTTTATAAGATGCACATATTTCCAAAACTGTTCACCATCTCTACTGATAAATTAATTCACAGGATTCATATAGTTGCTTTTTAGTGTCAACAGGGTGTTAGCAAAAGTAATACGAAATGGTCTCTTCGCAAGCAACACACTGACCTTCCTTCCTAAATGAAAACATTCCATTAGATTAGATTTTAATTTGTTAGCTTCTCCTTCAGAAATTCTGTGACATCAAAGAGGAGATAGATTTCTTGTTTTACCAAACCCAAGACCTTGCTTGCTGGGTCCACTGCTATTCTCCATTGACAGACTGGCCCAGAACTCAAGGAGCTTGGGGCCTGGCATGTCTTTATACCCAGAAATGGGTGCACTGATAAAGGAGAGCAATCCACAGGCGAGGCAGCTGCAGGTGCCCCCTGCAGGCTCAGTGCTGCAGTGACAGGACACAGAGCATGTGGGCTGAGCACACTCACCTCCCGCACTGGGCTTCTGCAAAGTTACTCACAACTGAGTAACTGGTTGGCAGTCAGTAGCTGGGGACATGTCACACATGGATCTGAGTCCTTGAATGATGTACCCTTTGCCAGGTTTTACTCGTCCCCTCACTCTTCCAAACTCTCCAATTCCCTCTTTATGAAACGTACTATTACAATGACTTTTCTCTCTCCTTGCATTAATGGAAGAAATAAAGTTCTACAGACACCCGCAGTTAAGAGAGACTTCAAATCCAGCAAGCAAGGCCTTTAGTGCAAATAAAATGAGTTCCCATTAAGGTCAAAATGTTATGTTGCAACTAGGTACACCATGTTGCCTTCCTGATACCTTTTAAGGTCCAATCTTATCTTCCTTGAGATTGTTAAAATGTGTTTCAGCCAATTTCCTTTTGGAAATGGGAGTAGGAACAGTCAAAAACCTTACATTATTGAAGGCAAAGCAGCCTCACGTCAGTTTATCATCTCATATAGGTCTATTTTTAAAAAGTACGACCCCTGTCCTATATTCAGGATTTTCTCACATATATGAACCATGTAAATTCTATGTTGTTAGAGTAGCTTACGTTATATTAGAATATACTTACCAAAGACCGAAGTTGGGTGAGATGGATTTTTTTTAAAAATCTTTAAAGTAAGGCTCTTTACTTCCCTTCTAATGAGGAAAGAGGTGGAAAAAATTCAAGTGTCAGTTTCCCTTTCCTGGGAAGAGGTTTAGAAAAACTGAGCTCACCTTCAGAACTCTACCAGTTCCTTTTGAAATCAAGAAAGCATTAGCATCAGATCTAACATATAAGAGGCAGGAGCAATATTTACAAAACTGGGTATTCCTTAAAGACATAAAACCTTGCTAATCCTGGAAGAACCATACGAAGGAGATGTTTAAAGAGGGATAGCATACATTCTTGGTTAAGTGAGGATACAGAAAAGCAGTATACAGCATCTTACATATATATATATATATATATATATATATATATATATATATATATATATATATTTTTTTTTTTTTTATGCCAGAACATGATACAACTAGGAGTAGCTGAGGCTGCCTCATCCCTGAAGTGGACTGCTCAGCTATTCTGTTTACCTAAAGAGGTTTGCAAAAGGATTGCTGTGCACAAACTGAGCTTCATGGAGTAACTATCCAGTAGCTGTTCTCCTGAGAGAACAGAACCACCTGGCAAGCTTAAAGGCAAGTGTTTCCTTTCTTTTAATTAAATAGGCTGTGTTAAAATTAACATCGAAACCGGCCTTGAATCAAACAGCCCACCATGATGTAGTGCAAATCTCCCAGTGACAAAATACCATCACAGAGGCTACACGTTGGTCTCTAGTCCCAGCAAACGTCCCATTCTCTCCACATTCTTATCAATTGTAGCTTGACATGTTATCTCCTTGGCACATTCCATAGGAAACCAGCCCCTTTCTCCATCTCGCAGTCTTTCCCCTTCATACCAGCCTGTAAAGGAAGAGCAGAGTCCTCATGGGGCACCAAGTATTTGGATGAATCTTGACTGTTCAGCTCCAAGGGAGGACGATATGGGCAAATTTCAGAGGCAGTATCCTGCCCCAGGTTGGGTACCACGGATGATGGAAGGTGAGAGAGAGGTGGAACGGGGGAAAGGTTTCAAGAGGGAATCAATGGCATATCATGAGAGGCAGAACATGATCAGAGGCCCTGAAGTGAGCAGAAAGGGATGATGTTTTGGGTAGGAAGAACATGACTTTTATTTTTTTACTTTATTTTTATTGAAGTATAGTTGATTTACAGTGTTCTGTTTCAGGTGTACAGCAAAGTGTTTCAGTTATACATATATATATATATATATATATATATATATAATCTTTTTCAGATTCTTTTCCCTTATAGGTTTTTACAATTAATGAGTATAATTCCCTATGCTATATAGTAGGTCTTTGTTGGCTATCTATTTTATATATAGTAGTGTGTATATGTTAATCCCAAACTCCTAATTTATCCCTCCTGCCCCCAACCCTTCCCCTGTGGTAACCGTAAGTTTTTCTGTGTCTTTGGGTCCGTTTCTGTTTTGTATACAAGTTCATTTGTATCTTTTTTTAGATTCCACATGTAAGTGAAATCACAGATTTCTCTTTCTTTGTCTGGCTTATACTTCACTTAGTATGATAATCTTGAGCTATAGCCATGTTGCTGTAAATGGCATTATTTCATTCCTTTTTATGGTTGAGTAGTATTCCATTGTATACATGTACCACATCTTTTTTTTGTGGTATGCGGGCCTCTCACTGTTGTGACCTCTCCCGTTGTGGAGCACAGGCTCTGGACGTGCAGGCTCAGCAGCCATGGCTCACGAGCCCAGGCGCTCCGTGGCATGTGGGATCCTCCCGGACTGGGGCATGAACCTGCGTCCCCTGCATTGGCAGGCAGACTCTCAGCCACTGCGCCACCAGGGAAGCCCACATGTATCTTTTTAAATTATGGTTTTCTCCAGATATATGCCCAGGAGTGGGGTTGCTGGATCGTATGGTAGCTCTATTTTTAGTTTTTTTTTGTTTTTTTTTTTCTTTTTTTTACGGTACTCGGGCCTCTCACGGTTGTGGCCCCTCCCGTTGCGGAGCACAGGCTCCGGACGCACAGGCTCAGCGGCCATGGCTCACGGGCCCAGCCTCTCCGCGGCACGTGGGATCTTCCCGGACTGGGGCACGAACCCGTGTCCTCTGCATCGGCAGGCGGACTCTCAACCACTGCGCCACCAGGGAAGCCCTATTTTTAGTTTTTTAAGGAACCTCCATACTCTTCTCCATAGTGGCTGCACCAATTTATATTCCCACCAACAGTGTAGGAGGGTTGCCTTTCTCCACACCCTCTCTAGCATTTACTTGTAGACTTTTTAATGATGGCCATTCTGATGGGGGTGAGGTGACCTCACTGAAGTTTTGATTTGCATTTCTCTAATAACTAGTGATGTTGAGCATCTTTTCATGTGCTTTTTGGCCATCTGTATGTCTTCTTTGGAGAAATGTCTATTTAGATCTTCTGCCCAATTTTTGATTGGGTTGTTTGTATTTTTGATACTGAGCTGTAAGAGCTGTTTGTATATTTCGGAGATTAATCCCTTGTCAGTTGCATCATTTGCGAATATCTTCCCCCATTCCATAGGTTGTCTTTTCATTTTGTTTATGGTTTCCTTTGCTATGCAAACACTTTTAAGTTTAATTATGTCCCATTTGTTTATTTTTGTTCTTCCATTATTCTAAGAAAGATCCAAAAAGATACTGTTACTATTTATGTCAGAGTGTTCTCCCTATGTTTTCCTCTAGTAGTTTTTATTATATCTGGTCTTACGTTTAGGTCTTTAATCCATTTTGACTTTTTTGTGTGTGGTGTTAGAGAATGTTCTAATTTCATTCTTTTGCATGTAGCTGTCCAGTTTTCCCAGCACCACTTATTGAAGAGACTGTCTTTTCTCCATTGTGTATTCTTGCTTCCTTTGTTGTAGATTAAGTGGTCATAGGTGCATGGGTTTATTTCTGCGCTTTCTAACCTGTTACATTGATCTATGTGCTGTTTTTGTGCCAGCACCATAGTGGGTTTTTTGGGGGGTTTTTTTGTGGGTTTTTTGTGTGTTTTTTTTGCGGTACGCGGGCCCCTCCCCGCCGCGGCCCCTCCCGCCGCGGAGCACAGGCTCCAGACGCGCAGGCCCAGCGGCCATGGCCCACGGGCCCAGACGCTCCGCGGCATGTGGGATCCTCGCGGAGCGGGGCACGAAGGACTGGGGCACGAACCCGCGTCCCCCGCACCAGCAGGCGGACCCCCAACCACTGTGCCACCAGGGAAGCCCCACCATAGTGTTTTGATTACTGTAGCTTTACAGTATAGTCTGAAGTCAGGAAGCCTGATTTCTCCAACTCTGTTTTTCTTTGGCTATGCATGGTCTTTTGTGTTTCCACACAAATTATAAAATTTTTTGTTCTAGTTCTGTGAAAAATGCCATTGGTAATTTGATAGAGATTGTGTTGAATCTATAGATTGCCTTGGCTTGTAGAGTCATTTTGACAACATTGTTTCTTCCAATCCCAGAACACAGTATACCTTTCCATCTGTTGGTATCATTTTCAATTTCTTTTATCAGCATCTTATAGTTTTCAGAGTACAGGTATTTTGTCTTCTTAGGTAGGTTTATTCCTAGGCATTTTATTCTTATTGATGCAATGGTAAATGGGATTCTTTCCTTAATTTCTCTTTCTGATCTTTTGCTGTTAGTGTATAGAAATGCAACAGATTTCTGTGTATTAATTTGTATCCTGTGACTTTACTGAATTCACTGATGAGCTCTAGTAGTTTTCTGGTAGCATCTTTAGGATTTTCTATTTATAGTGTCATTTACAGTGTCATGTCATCTGCAAACAGTGACAGTTTTACTTCTTCTTTTCCAATTTGGATTCCTTTTATTTCTTTTTCATCTGATTGCTGTGGCTAGGACTTCCAAAACTATGTTGAATTAAAGTGGTGAGAGTGGACATCCTTATCTTGTTCCTGATCTTAGAAGAAATACTTTCAGCTTTTCACCATTGAGTATGATGTTAGCTGAGGGTTTGTATCAGGATGATCATGGCCCCACAGAGTGAGTTTGGAAGTGTTCCATCCTCTGCACTTTTTTGGAATAGTTTCAGAAGGATATGTGTTAACTCTTCACTAGATGTTTGGGAGAATTCGCCTGTGATGCCATCTGGTCCTGGACGTTTGTTTATTCGGAGTTTCTAAAACAGATTCAATTGCAGTACTTGTAATTGGTCTGTGCATGTTTTCTACTTCTTCCTCATTCAGTCTTGGGAGAGTGCGCCTTTCTAAGAACTGGTCCATTTCTTCTAGGTTATCCAATTTATTTGCATATAGTTGCTTGTAGTAGTCTCTTATGGGCCTTTGTATTTCCATGGTGTCAGCTATAACTTTTTTTTTTTTTTTTTTGCGGTACGCGGGCCTCTCACTGTTGTGGCCTCTCCTGTTGCGGAGCACAGGCTCCTGACGCACAGGCTCAGTGGCCATGGCTCACGGGCCCAGCCACTCCGTGGCATATGGGATCTTCCCAAACCAGGGCACGAACCCGTGTTCCCTGCATCGGCAGGCGGACTCTCAACCACTGCGCCACCAGGGAAGCCCCTATAACTTCTTTTTAATTTCTAATTTTATTGATTTGGGCCCTTCTTTTTTTTCTTGATGAGTCTGGCTAAAGGTTTTTCAATTCTGTTTATCTTTTCTAAGAACCAGCCTTTAGTTTCACTGACCTTTTCTATTGTTTCCTTAGTTTTAGTCTCTATTTCTGTTCTGATCTTTATGATTTCTTTCCTACTACTAATTTTGGGTTTTCTTTCTCTAGTTGCTTTAGGTGTGAGGTTAGGTAGGTTATTTGAGATTTTTCTTGTTTCCTGAGGTAAGCTTGTATCACTATAAACTTTTCCTCTTAGAACTGCTTTTGCTGCATCCCATAGGGTTGGATCGTCATGTTTTCATTTTCATTTGTCTTTAGGTGTTTTTTGATTTTCTCTGATTTCTTCAGAGATCCATTGGTTGTTTAGTAGCATATTGTTTAGCCTCCACATGTTGGTGTTTTTTTTCTTGTAGTTGATTTCTAATCTCATACTGTTGTGGTCAGAAAAGATGCCTTGGTATTATTTCAATTTTTTAAAATTTACGAAAGCTTGCTTTGTGGCCCAGCAGGTGATCTACTCTGGAGAATGTTCTATGTGCACTTGAAAAGAATGTGTATTCTGCTGCTTTCAGATGGAATGCTCGATAAATATCAATTAAGTCGATGTCTAGAGTGTCATATAAGGCCTGTGTTTCCTTATTGATTTTCTGTCTGAATGGTCAGTCCATTGATGTGAGGTGTTAAAGTCCCCCACTATTACAGTGTTACTGTCCGTTCTCCCTTTACAGCTGTTAGCATTTGCCTTATATATTGAGGTGATCCTGTGCTGAGTGCATATCTATTTACAATTGTTCTATCTTCTTCTTGGATTGATCCCTTGATCATTATGTAGTGTCCTTTTTTGTCTTTTGTAACAGTCTTTATTTTAAAGTCCATTTTGTCTGATATGAGTATTGCTACTCCAGCTTTCTTTTGATTTGGAAATTCTTTTGTATGGAAAATGTTTTTCCATCCCCTCACTTTCAGTCTGTATGTGTCTCTAGATCTGAAGTGGGTCTCTTGTAGACAGCCTGTATATGCGTCTTGTTTTTGTATCCATTCAGCCAGCCTATGTCTTTTGGTTGGAGCGTTTAATCCATTTATGTTTAAGGTAATGATATGTATGTTCTTATTGGTATTTTGTTAATGGTTTTGGATTTGTTTTTGTAGGTCTTTTTCCTTCTTTTCTCTTTTGTTCTCTTGTGATTTGATGATTATCTTTAGTGTTGTGTTTGGATTCCTTTTTCTTTCTTGTGTGTGTATCTATTATACATTTTTAGTTTGTGGTTACCATGAGGTTTTGATATAGCAGCCATATATATACATGATTGTTTTAAGTTGCTGATCTCAATTTCAAATGCATTCCAAATATCCTGCATTTGTACTCTCCTCTCATGATTACTGATTTAGATATCATATTTCTGAGTGGATGATTTCCTACCTTTACTGTACGTTTGCCTTTACCGGTAAGCTTTCCCATTTTGTAATTTTCTTGTTTCTAGTTGTAGCCTTTTCTTTACTGCCTAGAGCAGTTCCTTTAGGATTTGTTGTAAAGCTGGTTTGGTGGTGCTCAATTCTCTTAGCTTTTGCCTGTCTGTAAAGCTTTTGATTTCTCCATCAAGTCTAAATGAGAACCTTGCTGGGTAGAGTATTCTTGGTTGTAGGTTTTTCCCTTCCATCACTTTAAATATACCATGCCACACCCTTCTGGTTTGCAGAGTTTCTGCTGAAAAATCAGCTGATAACCTTATGGGGATTCTCTTACATTTTTCATTTTTGTCAATTTGATTACTTTGTGTCTCGGTGTTTTCTTCCTTGGGTTTATCCTGTATGGGACTCTGTGCTTCCTGGACTTCAGTGACTCTTTCCTTTCTTGTGTTAGGGAATTTTTCAGCTGTTATCTCTTAAAATATCTTCTCAGGACCTTTCCTCTCTTCTTCTGGGACCCCTATAATGCAAATGTTGGTGCATTTGATGTTGTCCCAGGTCTCTTGTACTGTCTTCATTTCTTTTCATTCTTTTTTCCTTATTCTGTTCTGTGGCAGTGATTTCTACCACTCTGTCTTTCCAGCTCACTTATCAATTCTCCTGCCTCATTTATTCTGCTGTTGATTCCTTCTAGGTGCACTTTTCATTTCAATTACTGTATTCTTCAACTCTGTTTGGTTGTTCTTATCTTTTCTAACTAACTCTTTGTTAAAAACTTCTTGTAACTTCTAGCTCTGTGCATCCATTCTTTTCCCACATTCTTGGATCATCTTTACGATCATCACTTGGAAATCTTTCTTAGGTAGATTGCCTGTCTCTGTGTCAGGTAAGTTGTTTTTCTGGGCTTTTATCTTGTTCCTTCATTCTGGAACATATTCCTCTGCCATCTCACTTTGTTTAAATTTCTATTTATTTTTATATATGAGGAAAGTTATGTTTCTCAGCACTGGAGAAGTGGCCCTCTATAGGGGATGTCCTATGTATTTCAGCAGTACACTCCCCTCTCATCACCCAAGGGCCAGGGACCAACTGGTCTCAGGGTAGGTTCTGATCTGCATTTGTGTACTCAGTTCTGCAGGCTGCTGGACTGTAGCTTTCTTGCTTCTGGTGTCTGCCCCTGGTGAAGGGGGCTGGATCTTGGCCCTCTGTATCATGGGGTGGGTCTAGAGGTCCCTGTGGGTTCAGGAAGTCTTTAGGCGGCCTGTCTGCTGATGGGTGGGGCTGTGTTCCTACCCTGTTGGTCGTTTGGCCTGAGGTGTCCCACTACTGGAACCGACAGGCTGTTGGGTGGAGCCAGGTCTTGGTACTAATGAGCCAATGTGTCATCCACGAGGATCATTCATGTGGTTGAATGTAGCCCAGTATGTCTGCCACCAGTGTCTATGTCCCCACAGTGAGCCAAAGCCAACCCCCACTTCCAAGGAGCCCCACCAAGACCCATAGGTAGTGACTTCGTAGGAGCCTGGGCCAGACCTGCTTTCGCCCTGGGTCCTGGTGCACACGAGACGTTGTGTGAGGTGAGCCCTCCAAGAGTAAAGTTTCTGTTTTCCCCATTCCTGTGGAGCTCCTGCACTCAAGCCCCACTGGCTTTCAAAGCCAAATGCTCTGGGGGCTGCTCCTCCTATATGCCAGACCCCCAGGCTGGGGAGCCTGACATGGGGCTCAGAACTCTCATTTCTGTGGGAAAACTCCTGTGATATGATTGTTCTCCAGTTTGTGGGTCGCCCACTTGGGGCGGTATGGGATTTGATTATATCACGAGCGCACCTCTCCTACTGTCTCATTAGGTTTCTTCTTCATGCCTTCAGATACAGAAAATCTTTTTTGGTAGGTTCCAGTCCTTTTTTTTTTTATCAACGGTTGTTCAGCAATTAGCTGTGATTTTGGTATGCTCGTGAGAGGTGAGCTTACGAGTCCTTCTACTCTGCCATCTTGTCTCCCAACTGACTTTTATTTTCTAAGTGAACAACCGTGTGACCAGATCCTATTAAAAAAACATTTAGAAGCAATAAAGTGTAGATAAAGGAGAGGCAGGCTCATATGAGGAAACCAAAGGGATAGGGAATATAAGCAGTGATGACAAAATGAGACCGTGAACACTGGACCACCAGCACCCCCATCAGAACACTCCCACTCACCATCGCTGACACACTGATAAATGAGGACCACGTCCGCCACCTGCAGGGAGAGTTCATCTGGTTGCTTGGCAGTAAATGATCTAATGATTTCCACTTGGGTCAGTGCTAAGGGCAAAAGGGGACATAATGAACTTCCGGTAGCAGTGGAAAAACAAAACAGGTACAAATCAATATTCTGCATTCACTTAGTCTTTCTGTGCAATCAGAGCCAGCACAGATAGAAACAAGGTAGACTAAAAAGTAGAAAATCTTTCCCAGGAATTCTCTTACTTGGCTAAGAGCTTTAGGATTTTAGAGAGAGGCCTTTTACGATACATGAATCCCCTCAAAAATAGCCTTGATAATTAGATACATCACACAATAGAGCAGAAAACAGTCACTGTGCACTGGGGAAACTGAGTCAAGATAGATTAGGTATGTGCCAAGGCCATGAGGGTAAAATCCAAAATCTATCCAGTTCTCCTGGCTCTCATCCAGGGTGCTCCCCCAGCCCACCGAACAGCACATAAAAGCTGCCAGAGAAGTTTAGAAATAAAAGGAGCTCCAAGCAAAAGTTAGTTAGAAAACATTTTAGTTTCCCCCAAATTCTCGATCATAACAAATCAATTTTTACTTCAGTGACTTGCTACTGGCTGGCCTGAGTTTTTACTCGTTTTTTTTAATATGAAACTTGATTCCAGAGAACTTTCAAACCAGTCACTTCAGCTCTGACTCTAAGCTTAAAACTATGATTTTTGAGTGCTCCAGAATATCTACTTTTGCTGCCCTAATTCTTTGAATTTGACCTTCCAGCTGGAATCATCCAGAGCAGCATAACAAGATGCTTAGCATATGACACTAATCTTTACTGTACCAGTACCGAGTTCCCTAGAAAAATAAAATATATTTTTTAATATTAATTTTAAAAAAAGTCAAAAGGAAGGGTAAAGTAATTTACCTTAAGGTTAAAAATCCATTTCAGCTTAGATTCACACTGTCAGTATGGAGGTTTAAACATGCTACTATTGCCCATGACAGCTAGAAATTTAAGAGCTTTATAGTATAAGCAGGGCTTTCAATGTACACTTAACTTAATCCTATCATAACCCCATGTTGTATATAATAATGCACCTAACTTGCAGATGATTTAAGAGGCGCAGAAAAGCTATGCAGTGATCTGCCATGTTTACACAGCAAGGAACTGCACTTTGAATTCAGTCCCCTTGACTTCCAAAGCAGGGAGCGTCCAGAGCTGAGGTGGGGCGGCAGGAAGGAAATCTTAGAGAAAACTTACAAAGCAAGTACTGTGGAGGTTAGCCACTAATAACCCAGCGACCAGCAGGGGGCAGAGCCCTCCACGTTCCAGAGCAGATGGCCCTCCAGGTACTTACAGGTTCTGTCCGGAGGCTGCTTCCCGCTGCTGTGTCCCAGGGCAGTTATCCAGCGGGCTCGCTCGCTCCTAAACACAGAGGGCAGATCCGGTTGAGAGAATTCAGCGGTGCTTAGACACAGAATGAAGTATGTTCTAGAATGCAAAGGCATGCCCTGAAAACAGGGCAGACATTCTCTAGAGAGGTAAATAGCTGGCCTTCAAAGCTAGGGTAAGAGTTATTTTAAAATGAAAAACAATTAATAAAATAAAAATTAAAATGATCATCTGGGAAATCTCAAATCGGCCTCAAACGCGTCATTGTCAAAAGATTCTGAATGAATTTAGCTTGTTGGTTTTTTTTTTTTTTTTTGCTGTACGCGGGCCTCTCACTGTTGTGGCCTCTCCCGTTGCGGACCACAGGCTCCGGATGCGCAGGCCCAGCAGCCATGGCTCACGGGCCCAGCCACTCCACGGCATGTGGGATCCTCCCGGACCGGGGCACAAACCCACGTCCCCTGCACTGGCAGGCGGACTCTCAACCACTGCGCCACCAGGGAAGCCCTAGCTTGTTATTAAGTGGAATTTCTCATACAACAGTTTAACATTTAACAAATATCTGATTACACTAATACATTATAATCACAAAAAGATATTTCGTACACTCACAATCTGATGTTTAACATTTCAAAAAAGTAAATTTCATTTTAAAAAATCCTAGTAAATCAGTCTCTCGCCACTCCCTCCCCTCTTCTCCTTCCCCCACACTCAACCCATTTCCAAATAAATGAGAAACCTGACATTATTTAAAGTTGTTCTGTTCCTCATACAACAAATGTTGCAAAATATGAGCCTTAGTGAAATAGAAATTCTTTGTTCTCAAATGCTTAAAATAATTTAATGATTACAGGGGAAAAAAATTTTTAAGGTAAAAAACAACCAAAAGCTTTTAAACAATATTAAGCTACAATTACATGAAACAAAATAATTATTTAACTAAAGGATCAAAAGTTTCAGGTGAGCATTACTCCATAATATAGTAACCAGGTTTTTGATTTGGAAAGTCAAGTATTAGCACTGTGATTAAATAAACCACACACAGATACACAAGAAGCATTTACATGGCAGATACAGCACTTGACATCCATTATTTCCTGTAAGCTTCCCAAAAGCCTGTTTAAGGGATGAGAAGACTGCACAGAAGTTCAGAGGTAAGCAACCCAAACAAAAGGTCAGTTTCTACTATGCCACTCTACCTTCTTAAGAAGGGATGCCTTATAGAAATAAAAAATAAAAATTTTAAAAAAGAAATGGGACCTAATCAAACTTACAAGCTTTTGCACAGCAAAGGAAACCAGAGGAAAAAAAAGACAACCTATGGAATGGGAGAAAATATTTGCAAATGATACAACTGACAAGGGCTTAATCTCCAAAATATACAAACAGCTGGTGCAACTCAATATCAAAAAAGAAACAACCCAATCAAAAAATGGGCAGAAGATCTAAACAGACATTTCTCCAAAGAAGACATACAGATGGCCAATAGGCACAAAGAAAAGACGCTCAACATTGGTAATTATTAGAGAAATGCAAATCAAAACTACAATGAGGTATCACCTCACACCAGTCAGAATGGCCATCATTAAAAAGTCTACAAATAATGAATGCTGGAGAGGGTGTGGAGAAAAGGGAACCCTCCTACACTGTTGGTGGGAATATAACTTGGTGCAGCCACTATGGAGAACAGTATGGAGGTTTCTCAGAAAACTAAAAAGAGAACTAACATATGATCCAGCAATCCCACTTCTGAGCATATACCTGGACAAAACTCAAATTCAAAAAGATACATGCACCCCAATATTCATTGCAGCGCTATTTACAATAGCCAAGACACGAAAGCAACCTGAATGTCCATCGACAGATGAATAGATAAAGAGGATATGGTACATATATACAATGGAATATTACTCAGCCATAAAAAAGAATGAAATAATGCTATTTGCAGCAACATGGATGGACCCAGAGATTATCATACTAAGTGAAATAAGTCAGAAAGAGAAAGACAAATACCATATGATATCACTTATATGTGGAATCTAAAATATGGCACAAATGAACCTATCTCTAAAACAGACACAGATATAGAGATCAGACTTGTGGTTGCTGGGGAGAGGGGGGAAAGGGAGAGATGGATTGGGAATTTGGGGTTGGTAGATGCAAACTATTATATTTGGAATGGACAAACAACAGGTCCTACTGTATAGCACAGGGAACTATATCCAATCTCCTGGGATAAACCATAATGGAAAAGAATATTATAAAAGAATGTAAACGTGTAAAACTGAGTCACTCTGTTATACAGCAGAGATTGGCACTACATTGTAAAATCAACTATACTTAAATTTTTAAAAATAAAAAAAGGGGGATGCCTTTATGCCTGGTACTTTAAACAAAAAAACTTGGAGAAAAAAGTTCTTTTTCTCCCACAATGGCCTGCACCTAAAAGATGCTTCTCACCATCACTCTGTCTTCACTCCCCAATGTGTATCCATCCTTCCATCCAGACACAGCAGACTTCTTACAGTCTGGAACTCAACATGCTGTTCCACACCTTTCCTATTTGTTCTTCTCACTCTCAAGTACGACCTTCCCCCTGTTTTTACTGAGCTGTGCCCACTCATCATCACTATTTGATTGCTTTATTGAAGAACACACACATAAAACAAAGTATACAGATCTGTGTTTACTTAGGTACAACCACGTACACATGCCCACAGATCAAGACACAGACGTGCCGGGAGGTTCCTTTTTTGTCCCTTTCCAATCAGTAACCTCCTGCAAAGGTAACTGCTGTTCTGATTTCTATCACATAGACAAGTTTTGCCAATCTTGAACTTTATGAAAACGGAATCCTATAATATTGTCCACTTTGGTATCTGGCTTCTTTTGTTCAACACATCTAACTCAGTATTGAAAATACAAGCCTCCCCTCCAGGTGGCCGCCTCTGATGCGTGAACCCACACTTCCATCCCCATCCCATTCTTGAGAATCCTGTTCTCACGCCCCCCTCTGCACAGCTCTGTCACACTGCCTGGCAGCTGTAGGCCTCCTGAAGCCAGGCACCTTATCTCCATAACTGCCTGCACATAACAGGAGCTCTGTAAACCCTGACCTCGCATAAATCACTACTACTCATTGACCCCCGATCTTTTATGGACTTGTCTGTTTCTCTGACTGGGCCATAAACTCCCCAAGGACAGTAACTGGATCTTGTTCTAAATAGCATAAGGGATCACATATATGCCAGGTACTGTGCTTTTTTATATTTGGCGAGTACCATCTAGTCTAATCTTTACAACTGTCTTGCAAGTATTACTGTTGTTATTCCCAATTTTTTTTCAGAGGACGAAACTGAAGTCTGAACTGTTAAGTACCTGCTCACGGTAAAACTGCTAAGTGGTAGAGTCAGAATATAAGCCAGGCAGCTGGGGATCAAAGAGGTGGTGCTCCCTAGCAGGTGCTTACAAAATGACGAGGGACCAGAGGAAGGGTGGAAACTGCAGTCTGCTGAAAGACAGACTGACTTAAAAGAAGAAAATGAGGATGGGCCCTGGTCGAGCTGGTGAGTCAAATAGTAATATGAACAGTTTATGTAAAAACTGATGACACTGTCTTGCTTTTAAAAACTTTGTCTCTAATACAGGACAAAAAGACTTCACGGTGGTTTTATAAGGAACAAGTAAAGCACAACCTCCTTTCAGATAATCCCAAGCAAACACTTAAATCTTTGATATCTCTTTGTTGGGTAAGATTTTTAAAATTCAGGCTCAACTAGAATTTCCAAAGTACAAAGGCAATTGAAAGCTAAACAATATCTTAAGGATGGAAGAGCTGTTCGCCAAGAGTAACCTAAAACGATCCATTTGCGTCTCCACATGACATACACAGACATGTCAGATTCATCTTTGGCTTACCATGACATTTTCACATGGCCCTAACTGCTGTCTGCAGTCCTTCAAGTCAGATCTCCCGGCATTGGACCATCTCTGGCATTTGAATGGCCGGTTTTAGCGGCAGCCTCACCCTGCAGCCAGTTTCTAGAAGTCCAGGTGAAATCTTTCACTCCTGTAGCATGCTGCCTGGATGCTAATAGCATCCCTTCGACAAGGCAGCCCCTCACAGGGGCTCCAGAGGACAGAGCAAGACAGTCCTTATTGCCTCACTGAAAGGAGCCGCTTCTTGAAATGGCTTCAATTAAATCAGTCCCCCCCCCCACTGAGATGCCATCAAAACCACACGACATTACCCAGGGCTTCCGAGAGCCATGCCAAGGAGCTCCCTCCCATCATGAGATAGAAAGCACTGCATCTCTAAAGCAGGGAGGAGACTCACACCACATACAATGGAACTCTAAGAACAAGAAAACCCCGGGCCTAGACATACCCATTATTAAATTTAGATATCAAGTCCAAGGCTCACACACAGACAGCTGTTTTCTCCAGGGACGGACGAGGTGAGACAATCAACACGAATTCACAATCCATGCCACACCCAGCTTGCTGAGATTTCCCTTTGCCCAAAGTGCCACAATCAGCAATGCCGCTAATGGGGACCCGGGGCAGATCAACTCCTAAGGCGCTCCTGACCCCCTCCTTCCTTCAAACAACATTCACCAAGTCCCTGCCTTTGCAGGAGCCCTGCAAAGCACCTATGGTGGTTAATTAATCATATGAGGGACAGGACAAGATACTGACAGCTGACTCCTGAGTGGGGAGCCTCTTGCACTTCACAGCCTTCCTTCAATGAGGGAGCAGACAGAGCAAAAGATAAACGCACAGAGAATCCGACACATTGTGCGACGTGCTGGGTTGGCGCCCTCTAAATAAAACCCATCTGAGAGTTGAGAAGAGACCCTTTCAACATAAATATCTGGAAGCGCAGTCCTTTCTCTATGCACGGCATGAAATGATGTTCCTTATAAAGCCACCCTGAAGCTCCCCACTCAGGAGTCAGCTGTCAGTATCTTGTCCTGTCCCTCATATGATTAATTAAGCACCATAGGTTTAAACGTAATTACACAAAGGTTGAA